GAAAACCAACATATAAATCCTCCAGAAGAACCAGAACTTATGGAAAATGCTGATTACGATGCACTAAAGAAGCATGTTAGTGTTTTTTTTATTTTATTTTAAACCATTGTCTAAAGCAACACAATGTGAGGAAAAAAAAGATAAAGCAAAAAAGGGGCATTCTTACAAGCACACCCATTAAAGAAATGTTAGAACAGGAAAATTTAAAAAAAAACAGAGAAAAGAAGCCCGTGAAGCTAAAAACGGAGTAAAAAACTCAAACTAAGTTTCTTTAGGCCTCTATAAAATTCAAATCTATAAAATCCAAGCCAAACAGTCCAGTTGCATCAACTTCAAAGGATGGTGTTATAACATGTCCTGCTTGTTAAGAGGAAAATTGTAACCCTCCAACAGAAGAATGGATCCAGTGCTGTGAATGCCAAGAGGGGTGGCAAGAGGAATGTTCCTATTATGAAAACAGCATTTTTTATTTGTAACTATTGTGTTAGCTGCACAACTAAACACTTCAACATTACGTTACAATGCATTATGCTTAGTTTGATACTTTGTAAGATGTAAAAACACAGTTATCATTTGTTAAACCATGTAACATATTTAAAAGATAAAATCTGTTCAACCTTTCTCAGTGCTGTCTGGCAAGATGACAATTTGTTAAGGTTCTGAAAAAATAAAATTATCTTTTTTTTGTATTTTTTTTATTTGAAAAATTGAATAGTAATGTATTTAATACTACAAAGAACTACTCTAATACTTCATGTAAAAATAATTTTTTTTATCCTTAAAAAATAAATTAATAAACAACAAAATCTGTTAACATCGTCATTTTGCCCCGGTCTCCCCTACATGATATTGTTTCTTCAGTAGTTTAGAATCATCTTCCGTTTATGCTAAAGCTCGCATTAGTTATTATATATATATTAAATTTCAATTTCTCAAATATCCTTCAATGTATGGTTTTCTTACTGTCTCTGTATTTTTCGATTTTGATTGATAAATGTTCATCTCTCAGTTGTAGAGAATTTAGACTATAGAATTTAAAATAAAATAGATTTCCAATCTTCACATTGCGTACATTCATTATATAAGAAAAACATTCGAAATTATAGAAACGTTTCAACATTTGGTTCTTTCCGTACTTCATAAATTAACAGAATGGTTGACAAAAACGGAAGAAATTTTTATGTAAGAATGGAAACGTATTTGATGTAAAATGTATTATAAAAAAACAACATATTTATTATTTTTTAGAACAATAATTTCTTTCTTGGGAATTGAATTTATAAAACTGATTATTAATAACCATTTTCCAATTTCTCGTGAAAACCGTTTGCTTAAAAAATGGCACTAAAACCAAACTTGTGAGTTTATTGAAAGTGGTAGAAAAAAAACATTAAAAGATTAAATGTTCTAAAAAGGACATTAACTATTAATGGAAATTCTTAGAGTAAATATAGGGCTGAATTTTAAAATAAAGATACTTATTATTGTGTTTTAAATGGATCACTTTTTCATTAAAAAGTAAGCTCAGTGAACGGAAAGGGGCGGAGCATAGACCTAAGGATTCGAAGCCCAGTAACATGACCATTACACAAATGGATCACTACTGTCTGTAATATTTAAGTACATGCTTTCTTTCAACAGAAACTTGGCGCATGTGCAGAACACAGTGTAACGCAATTTTTTTAACGCTGGTGCAAATTTCATTCTTCATATAATTTCCATACCGGGAGCTTTATATGAAAATCGATTCTTCAGGAGTTAACTCCAATATGATGAACATCGTTTTTATCGATGTTGGAAAGTGAAAGCATAAAATATTGTTCGTGAAGAGATTAATTTATTTAGATTTTTAAAATAAAATCGTAAATATTTTTACTGATACATTTTTTCTCCATATTTAGGGTCTCCTGAACCCTTCGACGGGTGCACCTCAGGATGAAACAGAATGAGGCGCCTCCCCCCCCCAAATCAATTTTAATTTAAAAAACTAGCAAATACAACAAACTACACGAAAAAGAACCAGTTTAATTAAGAAAATGAAGCTTAAACTAAAGCAACGAAAATTGCTAATTTGACACAAAGTGCTTTTGCTGGCCTCTCAGACCAGCTGCACCCGACGGAGGGTTAAGCTCGAAGCTGTACTGCTCCGGTGATTTTAAGACCCAGTATACACTATGAAAACTGCATGAAATTTACAAATGTAACCGTTCATAATTTCTATTTTTTACGTTCGTCGAATTTCTGATTTCATCGAATAAAAAAATTAATTTTTTATTTAAATTAATTATTTGGATGTTAGAACATCTTTTCGCATTGAGTAGGTCTCTGCTGGAAGTAACCACTTTAATATTGATTCTGCGTTGAGTAAAATTTTTTAAAAAATCTCACCTCACTGACAATGGTCTGCGAGAAATAGGAAGTGTCGTACTCCCATTGGGTACAGGGGACAGAGTCATTGGTTCCATTCAGCGACACCTGACAGAAGTTGTTGTAGTAAGTCTTATTCCCCTCCTTGTCTTCTAGGGTGGCGGGCTCTACGCACCTGAAGTCCATGTTGGGGGCGAAGAAAGTGATCGCCAGATTCTGCCAGATGCCAACGACGTTGACGTAGAAGAACACCAGGAACACCCTCCTCTGCCAAGGGCCGAAACTGCCAATCGTCTCGAACATATCCATCTTGACGTATCTGTCAAGAGATAAAAAGCAAACAGATTCTTAAAAACTAAAAATATACAGTAAAGTGTTCGACTGCTGAACGTGAGAAAGAATAAACATTCGATGGTAATAATTGCGCCATTTTGAGTTTCCGAGCGTAATATTTATCAAGTAGAATTTTTACACTAATGAAACGGTTTTTATACTGTGGTAGGTGGATCACCATTCCTTACCACGAAACCCTCACGGGTCCATTTTGAACAATTTATCAGAAGGAGCTTAAATGGAAAGAGGAAAAATGTGTCTTGTAGGCTTTTGCACGTAATATTTTTGCCGTGGATGAGGATAAGGTTTGTTGCTGTTTCCAATCCCCTTGGAAAGCCTACACCAAGTCCATTTGACTTTTCCGCATAATAGTGTCACACACCAGGTCTTGATTTTCAAACAACTGTGGCAGGGAAATGCCCCAGCAGTCGAGAAGATGAGCAAAAGAGCCAGGTAGAGAGCAGGGACAGGTAAAGAAAGACTTTACCCCCTGCACAAAAGTCATACTACGCAGGTAACCGCTTCTAAAGCTCGCCAAGGCCTTCTGATGAGCCCTGGAACTCCTACATTGTACACATAGGCCAGGACTCTTATCTGAGTACCAGTGGTGAGCAAGAGGGTTTCGCCAAGTCAAATTCATTTTAGTTCTTTGGAAGGAAGGAATTTCCGAAAGGCTTAAGACAAGTGAAACTGGGGTTAGAGAGATCACAGCCTCTACCAGCCAGCTCATCAGCTGCTTCATTCCGAGGCACACTCACATGCGATGGTATCCACTGGAGACATTCTTGTTTCCTTTGACCAAGCCTAGCCAATTTGGATAAAAAAGCTAGACCAGGACTGTTCATAATTTTTGGCCAATTCTTCAAATATTGGATGGAGCTTCTGCTGTCTGTCAGGATCCAGGTACTGTCCTTATAAGAGTTGAGAGCATGATCGAGAGCACAACTAATAGCAATGAGTTCCGATCTAAAACGGAACAGTGGTCAGGATTCCTGATGCTGATTTTAACATCATTTCCAGGAATGTTACTAAAAATACCACTCCTGCTCTACCCGTATCCGAACGATTACCATATGTGTAAATAATCAAGGCTTGATCGGGTATGTCATTTATTACTTCAAGTGCAAAATAAGGTTTAAATGATTTCATTTGTTTATAATTACTGCCAAATAATAGCTACACAAAGAATTAGTAATTGAACAGTTCACTATTTTAAAATTTAGATACGAGATAAAAGATAACGTCTAAATGAGATATCTATCAGAGAGAGAGTAAGAATTCTTTACTTCCATTCATGAGATGAAGAATCAAACATAGGATTCCACCTACAATTTAATGTTATTACTAAATTAACCAAATTTTTATGTCACCGAGAGTAAATCAGAATTTCTTTGATCTTATTTAGTTCATTTAGTTTTTTCTAGTCTGATTTTTCGATCTATAGAAAGAATACCGAAACAATAATTGATGTAATGTCTATATTGAAAGAATATAAAAATGAAAAATAAAATCTTATGTAATTAATTGTATGGTTTTTATTATGTGGGTCCAATATTATTAATTTGCAAACTGCTATTTAAGTATCATAGACTTTTACCCTAGGATAAATTGTCCTACATGTACTATCCATCACTCTTTTCCCGTACCACTGCCGCACACAAGGTGTGTGGGGGGGGGGCTCGGATCCCTCCGTCACCCGTGACTTTTTTCTATTGATTATAGTCCTAAGTATATAGTACGTAAAATTTAATTAATCATTTGTTATTAATTGTTATTATTTATTAAATATTTTAATTTTTGCTGTTTTTTGTTCCCGACAATCGACAAAATCAAAAGAATATGTCTGGTGGTGTATTCGGATATGACACGAGAATGGTGGGTTTTTGATCCACCTCGCAAAATTCCTGTGTGCGCCACTGCCTAACTCTAATTATTTATAACGTTCTTATAGAATTCGTTTTATAATTCATAAGAAATAAATGTTTCAGAAAAACTGCGAAATATGCATAAAGGTACATCAGTGGAAATAAACTAACATACCATAACTATTCACAAGTAAAATAACATGTAATAATAAAAAAAAATTTTTAAAGTCAATTCTTATTTATGTCAACAAAGAAAATTTTTATTTTAGTTAATTTTATTAAATAATTACAATGAATATAAATATGTATGTATATACGACAGAATCACAATGTTAAGTGGCAAAATAGAAAGCGATTTTCCATTTGTGGTGTTGGACTATTATTTTTGTTTATTACTTTTTGTTCATTCATAAATCACATTCTCGGAAATTAGGACATCCCAGGTAGGATTCGAACCCACGATCTTTGGATTAGAAGTCCAATATGCTATCCATTGCGCTACAGGGACACAACGAGCGATTTTCGTTTTTATATATGGTATTGGATTATTTTTATTTGTTACTATGTATTCATTAAATAAGTTTACCTAATGAATTAATATTCGAAAAAAATGTATTAACATCAAGTGTCATCCACTACAGGTTTTAAAAAATATATTTGAACTCGAATGGAGGAATAGAAAGTATTTTATTAACCATTCAAATTTTGAGCTAGATATATATAGTGAGATTATGAACTAATAGTAAGAACTGAAAAATTAGGGATATTGCTCTAAAAATTTTGAAAAAAGTGTGACGAATCTATACGCGATATTAATCCTCTTGGGGAATCTTTGGGCTAGCATTCGCGTTTAATTCACAGCCATTCCTCTCAAGAAGAAATCTTGATATTTAGATTACTTCGACAATATAAAGTCAGAGTTTTGTAATTGTAGTAAAAAGAGATAGAAGCTGTTACATTCGCTCCGCAGGAGAGCTTAAACAAAGTTGATTTTCGCGAGTAAAGATTAAAAGTGGATTTTGGTCACTGTGTTGTATTAATAGATTTTCAGTTAGGAATCAACGATAGATTAGGTTGAGTTAGATAAGTTACTGACGCCCGTTTGTTTAGTAGTCAATGCTCTTTCCCTCTGCCACTCCTCTGACATTCACTTTGAGATTAAGTTATTGTTGGTTAGTGTGTTTGAGTAAATAAATAATTGTTAGTATGGAAGTTTCTGATTCTGCTTTCGTTCCTCCTACACGTTTAGGTAGGCAAGACGGTGAGGGAGCGACTTCAGGAGTGTCGCTAACAAAAGGTATAAAAATTGCATATTGGAAAGCTGTAAGAAAATTGAATTCAAAATTATTCTAACGTAAAGAAAATATGTTAGCAAAGTGTAAGAGGGAAATAATTAATTTTTTCAATCATTTGTGATTTAAATTTCCTAAATATATATTTATATATATGCATATATCTGAGTAAGAAATGCAACGTTCTGTGTTTTTTATGTTTCAATTGAAATTTTATAACTTTGTTGTAATAGCAAATTTTTAATTACATTACATTTTACATGCGAAGTGTTTTTCTAAACTGTCTTTCGATAACATTTCCTTTTATAATTCTAAGCGAAATGATTCGCAAGCGTTCATCACTTTATTTATTAAAAAGATTAAATCAAATCTGTTACGTTTGTTATCTAGATGAACACATGTTCGTGGACAAAGCGGCCGCTTTACTTTCTGGATCAAAACGTAATATCCCGTCCAAAACGCAAAGTTTGCACGAAACGTTTCGTCTCTAGTCCCTTAGGTGTCCCAGAAAATAATATAAAACATTGAATGGGGAACGTTTATCAGAACAAAGTGGTGTCCATAAAATTTTTAACAAATTCAAAATAAAATATTTTGTCGTATTCAACTTCCATAGTATAACTGTTTTCATGCTGAATTTGAAATTTGAAAATGAAAACACATTTTTTTTTTTTAAAGGATTTCGAATTTTTTGAAATGAAAGATCTAGACCAGTGATTCCCAAAGTGGTCTATATAGACTCCCAGGGGTCTATGACAACCTGTAAAGGGTCTACGCCAGCGAAAAAATAATTAAGGGGTCTATGAGGTGTAAATGGGAGTCTATGTAATAGTGGCTCTCATCAAACTAGATCATGACTTTAATCTTTAAAAAAAGAATTTGATTTAGTGTGAAAACCAGATTTTACCAATTTAACTGACTTATATTTACTAAATTGAGTGAGGTTAATTTGGGGTTACTAGGTGACAGTACGGATTTTATTAAGACAAGGACCCTTTCAGCATTTCTTTCCAGAATTAAATTAAAGAAATATAATATTTTAAAACGTCGTAAATTTTCTCAATTTGTAGCAGACAATCTGTCTGGATATTTAACCTATGTTCAACATTTAAATGCCCTTTAATCAGATTTTGAAACTTGGTTTGAAATCGCTTTTTTTATAGTAATGCAACAGCAGACAATGAGAGAATTCATATAGTCACATCGAGAAAAAAAATGTCATATTACAATAGGAACTGATCAGAATAGGCCCTAATGAGCTTAAAATAAAATTTAGAAACAGATGTCAGCAATTTTGGCTTTAAAAAGACATTCCTGTTATTTGCTGCGAATTATGGAGTATCATGAGAAAGTTTTTAATTATTGCTTTTCCTAGTGATAAGAAATTTCAGTGAGTTTTCAAAATCCAAAAAAAAAAAACAAAAAAAAAAGAGTGGGGGAGGAGATTTATGGTTAAACCTGACAAGATTGATATTAAATATTGAAAATTTGTTATTGGAGCACCAGATTCATCCTTCTCATTAAAAACATTTGTTGTTCAGTTATTTTATAGAACTGTTGTTTTATGTATTAAATTAATTTATTTTAATTTTATTTTAATTCATTAACATGTGCTTCTTAAGTTTTATAAACGCGCTTTACTTCACTACAGTTAGAAGCTTAATTCTTTTAAAGTAAGTAGAGTCACACCAGCTGTCAAAAAGACATTTAAATTGATAAATTGGCAAAAATTTAATATAACAACTGAAAAACATGGCAAGGGGTCTATGAGACAAAAAAGTTTAGGAACCTCTGATCTAGACGTTATTAGAAAATGGAATACTCACAGCTTCTGCTGGAGATGACAGTGTCTTATGCCCGCCATGACAGCAGCTGAAACACTGCGATAAAATTGCAGCGAACGAGCTCTGTTTTGAAAACTGAGGGAGAGCTACTCGTAAAACTTTTTCTTGTTTTTTTACGATCCTGACGCAGCTGTATTCGATATGTAATCATCTGTTGAACGAACTAAATCGTAGTAGACCAGAGAATATTTTGTTTATTTTCTTTTCGAAAATACAATTGCAGTGACGCAATGCAAAGGAACGCATTAGTGCTATTTCGAAAAAAAAATCAGTATTAGAAATGGATTGTAAAAAGGAAAATGAAATTCTAAGCGAAAGGGGAAATTTCATAAGTAGGCATTCCTTGGTACTTTATTTCGTAATACTAAGAAATATTATTAGGATATATACGACACACACACACAAATTTTTGAATAATGCATTCCCAACAGTTTCAGTTATTCTCTGTTGACCATTACCCTAATATTTCTGAGAAAAAGAAATCCTCCCAAATAAAAAATAACTTTCAATTTCTGTAAAAAAAAGATAACTTATTTTTATACTACTCGTATAATATGTAAATTCAGATTTGCTTGATTAAAGTTTAGCCTTGAAAATAACAATAAAAAAAGCGAAGTATTTCAAAGCAATTTAATTTAAAAGGGAATGCAATAAAATTAACTTACAATTTAGTATATTCTATTCTAGTTATTCTCTAGAATTTTTCTTAAGTATTCTTTTTTCTTATTAAGAGAAAGAAAGTCGTTACGGACTGGGCTAATTTAAATAAAACTAATTAACATTTTTTTCTTTTATTGTTAAACATATTTCAATTTCAAATGCAAGTGACACAGGGTACATTTAATGTGCTTTGTCTGGATACAAAATATATATACTTTTAACATTTAATTTGCAATTCATGTAGCTTTTTTATTTAAAGTATTATTATTAAACTTTAAAATTATTTAAAGTCTTTTTAAAATAGTTATTGAAGTTTATTTAAAGTTACTATAAGATATCTTTTTTTAAATAATGAAAATGTATTTTCTATAAAATTAAAATATAAGGAAGTTTGTAACTGGTTTGTAGCAACGTAATGTTTTTGATATTGTAATTATATTTTTCAAATTAATCCATTCCCTAATGATAAATAGTGTTGTAATACGGACTCGTTGTGTGTGATAGTGGTTTTTATTTTCAAACTCTGGGAGACGCAGGAAAAAATTCATTGGGAATTTGCGTTTCAGGATTTGTCTTTGTCACTAAAATACAAAATATTTTTCACCCCAATTCCTTCTATTTCATTTTCTCTGTCTGTGAAAATGCCCCCCTAGGGTGCCCTTCTCCGGGATTATCTGCGTGAGCTAGAGGTGTATAGGTTCAACTAAAGAACGAGAATGCATGTTCTTAAAATATCTTTATTAGGAACTTGAACTTAAGCTTTTAACAGATTAGACAGTAATATATATGAGAGAATCTACGATGAACAAACACACAATACAAGTAATACCGAAATAACTTAAATCGGACCACTATCAATATCTAACCCACCTAATCTCAATTCCAATAATATCGCAAGTCCTAATATTAAATAGTCAATCCTACCTTAATCCAATCATTGATCCGATACTAAGGAAGTTGCGTCTTTACTCGAGTGCAATGGTATGCACCTTGACCTAATGGCTCTATCTTCAGGATAACCTCAGTTGGCTGTCACTTCATGATTGTATCACAATCTCTAACATAACACATTCCCCAAATTACCCCACCACTTACTGAAACTTCTGATATTTAAAAGCTATCTAACCTGCTGGCCACCGTAAATGCAACAACAAGAAAGACAAGACATAGCACAACAAAATTTATTTTGTAGATAACATGTTGACCAAGTATCAATGATTAAATTTATAGACTTCTGTGAAGTATGGTTCCTGCCAGAAGCAGTAGCCAGAGTAGCCACCATTGTTGGAGATCATCGCTGCCACACGACTCGAAATTGATTCAAAGAGACTTTGGATGTGTTCTTGGGGTACAGCAGACCAAGCAGCTTCCACACGTTGCCAAAGTTGATCTGGTGTGGCAGCTGGGAGTGTAATCTGGGTCAATCGTTGAGCAACTATGAACCACATGTTTTCTATCGGTGAAAGATCCGGAGAGCGAGCCGGCCAGAGAAGCAATTCAATCTGGTGATTGGCGAAGAACCTTTGGACAATGCGTGCCACGTGTGGTCGTGCACTATCCTGTTGAAGTATGGCTGTAGCCAAGCCCTGAAGATAAGGAAGGGCAACTGGCTCCAACACCTCGGAGATGTAGAACTGGCTGTTTAAAGTACCGGCAATGCGTACTAGAGGAGTACGAGAGTGATATCTAATACCGCCCCACACCATAACACC